TTCGCTGGTTACATAACAACAAAGGACAGACTTGACCTTCAGAGTTACAATGACAGTACAAAGGAGTTTCACATAATAAAAATCCAGTCTTGGCTATGTGAAAATGACATAAAATTCTGGCGAGGTGAACCCTTTAAGTGAACTCATAATCATTGCTTAAAGGCTAAATGGAATCAAAGCAAAACAATTCTTATCCTTTGCTGTAAAGCTGAATCTTTGTCCTAGAATTGCACCTTCAAGAATTTGCATAAAGAAAGTGCGGAAGAGTTTTTGGATGATTTGTAATCTGCCCAAAACAAGAAAGTGAATGCTTTCTGAAGTTTGATTAGCCATTTTTCGGAAAAAGTGATGAGGCAGAGAAATTATCGGTGAAGCTAGAAAAAAAGCGCAAAAAAATTAGTCGAGTTTTTCTGAAAGTTTGAAGAAACAATCTTTTCTATTCAGTTACTGTTTTAGCTGCCGATTTTCAAAGTTTTCTGATGCCTTTAAAAATTCTCCCAAAATAAAAAATCCTATATAATATTTTTTTAACCCTTAACGGGTAATGTTAATAAATGATTATTTTTCATATAAAAAAAAGTTAGAATGAAATAAGAGTATTAACTTCTGTCACTGAGTAGGAAAAATTATTGTTCAATTATTGTATTATTTTAATACAAAAGATAATATAATTATTTTGAGACACTAGTAATGTTGAACAGTCGAAATGATATTTTAAAGTGAATTTTTTGGATTCCAAAACACTGGGAAACAAATATTCTCTCTGGTTATTATTATATGTTATTTTGATTTTTTGTAAATTTCATTTATTATGTTTCTTCCTTTGAAAAATTTAAAAATATATTTTTCATATTTACAGTGTTCTCAATTACTATAAACTATTTTTAAGGTTTAATATTTAAGTAGAAAAATACAAAAATAAAATTTAAGAGAAATTAAAATATTTTACTATAAAAATAGAAGGAGTACGAGACAACAAAGTACGCCTCCCAAGTCATCGCCACCAGATTGTAGGAGAAGTTTACCCCAAATGTAATAATAATATAACTAGATGCTTGGCCCGGACAGATGCCCGGGCGCCCTCTCTAAATTACTATTTTATTAAAATCTAATTGAATTACTATTATTTAAGGAATTAATTTGGCGTATATATCATTTATGCTATGGTTTTGGGCTTAAAAAAATATACTTATAAATCTGAGATTATAAGGGAATAATAAATAATTAGTTTATAAGGCATTATTCTTAATTGCTGGATTTAGATATTTTTATTTTTTGTTTATATTAAACCTGCAAAACTATACGATTGGACATTTGAATTTGAATTAATATATCCATTCGTTTGAAATGTAACTGATCCTTATTTGTAGTAAAGTATGTATTTTTTTTTTAAAAAAATTATATAGGTTCTAATTAAAAGAGACTTACATGTGGCAAAAAGACTTCTGAAATCTGAAATATGTTGTATTGGAGCCAAAACAGATACATACGTAGTTGCCATATAAGCTTCATGTCTTCTGCTTTAATAGGGTAAAAGGGATTATTCAAGCTTATTGCCGCCATTTTCATAAAGGAACGGGGGGGCTTCAATTTTCCAAAGTAACAATTCTACCGCACTAAAAAAATATAGAATTAAAATATGACTATTATATCATAAACTCAATTTTCAACTACTAATTTGAAAATTGGCTCTGAAAAATGGGGGAAATTTGATCCAACGTACACCCACGAGGTAGATCAGATGTCGATCTCTCTCTCTCTCTCTTTTTTTTTTTTATTTTAAGAAAAATATATTTTCTTAGATATCGACCTTGTTTGATGGTTGATGTTTTGTTTTTGTCCAAATAGAAACAAAAAACAAAATAAAGGGGAAAAAAGAAAATTAGAGAGAGAACAAAATTACAAAATATGCCAACTTTCATTAAAAAAATGCATGTTTCCCTTTCCATTTAAAAGGAAGGGGAAGGGAAACATTCTTGGAATTTTAATTTGAGAAAAATTAATATTTTATTTTACTTTTTGATTTTTGAGAATATGATTTTGAAGAATATACATACCTTTTTCTTTTAAACATCCACTTTATTAAATCAAACCAAATATACAAAGCAAATTCTTTCAATGGAACGATAAATAGTAATAATAACACATTTAATTACTATTTTTTCGTATATGTAACGTAAATTATTTATTTTAAGACAAAGAAATACATCAATTTTGTCAACTAAATACTTTAGACGAAACGAACCCGTTCGAAAAGTGTACAAATCAATCCAACTTTCCAAGTTAGTTTATTTCCGCAACATACTGATCATCATCAGTTCATCACATTGCAACCTCGTAGCAAATCAGATAAAACGACAAAAGAAGCTATAGAAAGTTCAATTCATGTAAGACAATAGCAATGGATTGATAACAACGTATCTAATAGGCTTGTTATCATCGGTTACGGAAGACCGACAGAGCGAATAAGAGGCACAAATAAGTAAAATCTTTCCCAGATAGTATTATCTCTACCCCCAATAAACTCTACTTCCATTGTAATAACCAAGATACATCTAAAGTATCCATAAGTGCGGCATCAAAAAAAGAAAAAAAAGAAGATAACAGTTCTAATTTTTTCTAATCTTCATTATAAATTATAAATTTAAATTAATTTCAATATTAATTTGTGTTTTATAATTAGAATTAGAGGGAGCTTTTTTTGGTTTAAATAAAACCGTTCTAATGTTATTTTGGATAGAAATGAAAAAAAAATGGGTCACTTTTTTTTTGTGTTTGTTTTTTAAAGTTGGTTTCGGCCTTTATGATCAGATTAGTCTCCCTTAAACAAACAATTATCTTTACTAAGTTTAATTTAATTTTATCTTGGGAATGTTTTCAAAAGAATATTCAATTAATTAACAAAAAAGGGAACAATATTCACTAAATTAAATTACCTGGTCAACAATTAATAAGGATATTCAGTAAATTAAATTACATGGTCAACAATTAATAAGGATTTGTTATTGTATTTCTCTCCTCAAAATCATTCTATTGGTTAATTTTTTTTTTTTTGGGTACAAAGAAGGAGGCAACAACATCCATTGGACAAATTTTAACTAAGCAGTTCAATAAAAAAAATCACAACTAGACCATGGAATTTAATGTATAATTTAATTCATGGCGATGTTCTTAATGAAAAAAAAACGAAAATCAATGTCCACAAGAGCTATGAATTTCCATTAGCACGTAATGAACAAAACAACCAGTTAACCTCAATATAATGAAAGAAAAACAAATTTGAATTATTATTTCTTTTTGTGATAATCACTTATTTGACAATAATAATAACAATAAAAACGAAAGTAATATTATATATGTTCAAAAATTAGTCCACATTGAATTTTTTAAATTCGTAATTAAAATATTCAATACAAACTATTAAACATTAGTATTAAACAAAATTATTAAAAATACAAATTTGGAAATTCAATATAGATTATTCTTTAGAAGTTAAGATAGTAAACAATTAAACATTATTAAACTAAACTGTTTCATAAGGGAAAGGAGATGAAGATGTGGTTTCCACTTCCCACGCAAAAATCTTTGGCCAGATTCTGGTATCTAAAGAGCCGGTGGAGATTAATTAATAATTGCCTCTCAGAGGCTCAAACTATGACTATTTCTCACCTAATCCCTTAAGTATACAGTTATTGGCAAATTATTTCCTATTATTTTGATATCAACATTTAAATCAAGTCCAATGTAAGAAACTAAGCATACATAAGCGGTTTTTTCTGAACAAGTTAATTAAAATTTAAAAAAAATTCCTTCTTCGTCAACTATTGTTTACTGTTTTTAAGGGCTAATATATAATCATTTTTTAAAAATCTTTTAAAATAAAAAAAATCGATTAAAATACATGAATGCATAATTCATGACATGATATACAAGTACATTTTGATAGTTGACATTTGGAAGAATTAATACAAATATTTATCTACTCTTTCCCAACTCAATTTTCACTAGTAACATAACATTTGATTTGGAAGATTAGATTAGACACTGTCAGGAAAGGAGGGTGCGTTTCAGGGAATTATTTTAGAATGTACGGGGCATTTTGTAATTAAAACATATTATAATGCAAATTGCCTACCCAGTCTTTCTCTCTTCCGTGTGCCTTTGCATTTTACCGTGAAAATACTACTAAAAAGGTCGAGGAACGGACACACAGATCTAGATCTCCTCCTTACTCCTAGGCTCATCACCAACACTTCAAATCCCAGGTACCAATGCGCTGTCTCTATGTCTTTCCTCTTTATCTGCCATTTCTTTTTACCGAATTTCATGTACATTGTGCCGTTCTTTGTTTTTTCTGTCGGATGTGAAGGGAATAACTGGACCTGTTCTATAGTTCACTGAACTTGGGTTTTGAGCTTGACCCAGATGAGGAAATAGTTGAAAGATTAAATCTTTTCAAATGATTAGTGAAGTTTCAATTTCTTCAGTGGAGAGTTATTTCTGATGTTCACATAGGATCTATGAACTTACCTGGGAGGTCAACCAAATTGAGCTCTATTTGCTAAATGTAGCAGTGAAATTTTTGGCTTTTGGAATGTTACTTTCCAAATTGAGCTCCCTATGTTTGGCTTGTGTGCAGCTCATTTGTTTGTTTAATTGTCTGAATTGGATTGTCCAGTTACGGATGGAAGTGGTTCTTGGCATTTTGATTGTTCATGGATGGGGGAGCTATTACTAACTAGTGTTGTGGACTACAGTTGACTTCTGTTTAACTGTTAATGAAAGGGATCAGAGTTGTACCTTTATTGACGTAAATTTACTGGAAAGAAAATATCTTGCTGATCATGAATCTGTTAACTTCTTGTTTCTCAGGGCCATTTCAGATTTTTGTATATTGGTAGACAAAGTGCTTTCAGTCTCTTTTCTCCCATAAAAGAACACTAAATGTGGTCTCTTTTGATCTATCTTTGCTAGGAATTGGACCTTAGATACAACTAATCATGTCAAGAAGGCCAACTACTTCTCGTCGCTTCGCAGATAGTGGGAGCATTCCATTTGTGGGATCTTTACAATCTAAAACTCGTTCTTCTCCTTTATTGTCTGTTGGACTTGTGGTTGTGGTAAATTTCATATCTACCTTTTAAGTTGTGCATAATATTACTCTATTTCCTATTAGATTATGCTGTCCGATTTAATGACTTCAGTTTGACATTGCATTTTCCTAAAATCTCGTTTTCCGTTCGCCACCGTTAATACAAAAACTTTCACTTGTGAATTTTCAGGGCACATTGCTGATCGTTGGTTACCTGTATCACGGTTCAGGTTTGTACTATTTTTTTACAACATGCTTTTTACTTCGCATGCTTCTTAGCACATTAATCTGATATGGTATATCCTGCCTGATTTATGCCACAAATTTTTTAGCCATTCTTTGTATGGATGTCTGGATGTAGATTCATTCTCCTGTATTTTGAACTTACTAGAAATCTTTGTATTACAGGTGGAAGGAGTGGGGATATTAATGCTTTAAGTAGACTTGAAGGTACCTTTCCATAAAAGTATCCTTGAATTATTAATCTTCTTTCTTGATTCCATGTTTACTTATGTTTATCATATGCATTTAGATGATTTTTGGTCGACAATTTTCTTAGTTTTATTGTGCAACTGGTTAGTGCCACCAGTGATGTTGGAAGTGGATGTTTGTTGAACCACAGCCGTCATCTCTAACTTCAGGTTTTAGAAGAGCATTTATTCTAAGGAAAGAAATGGGCATCCATTGTTGTATACTTTGATTTGAATTATAACCGCGACAGTTATTTAATTGGCTGCAAAGTTGTCATTGCTAGTATTACTGCTATTGCGATATGCAAATTTTTCTTTTGCTCTCTGCCACATTTTCTGAGGCTTTTTTAACTTCTGCTGTTGCTTCCTGTTCTTGATTTTAGACTTAACATCTATATCCCTGTTGGTGACTTGAAATCACAAGTGTGCGCATTGTGCTAAAGGTTATGCCATTGGTATGCAGGTGGTGCATCCTGTTCACTTGAAGCTCTGAGAGCTTTACCCTTCTTGAAGAAGGCATATGGTGATAGTATGCACAAAGTGCTGCATGTGGGCCCTGATACCTGTTCAGTGGTTTCAAAATTACTGAAAGAGGAGGACACTGAAGCATGGGGGATTGAGCCATATGACTTGGAGGAAGCTGATGGCAGCTGCAAGAGCCTTGTTCGAAGGGGAATTGTGCGTGTTGCAGATATAAAATTTCCACTTCCTTACCGGGCAAAATCATTCTCTCTTGTCATTGTATCTGATGCAGTAGATTATTTATCACCAAAGTATCTCAACAAGACTCTTCCAGACTTGGTTAGAGTGTCTTCTGACGGCGTAGTTATGTTCTCTGGTAAGTTTTATAATCACCGATATCAAAGATACTATCTACTTTTTTGGTAGGCCGTAGATAAGTCCAGTTGATATGTCTGAATCAAGTTTGTTTTAATCACTTGAAGCTTGTGTCCATGTCAAAGTATTAGCACTGATTTTTTAAAATTTGTGCAGGTTTACCTGGTCAGCAAAGAGTTAAAGGGGCAGAATTGGCTAAATTTGGTCGCCCTGTAAGTCACCACCTTCTTTGAATGAATGGTAGAAGTAGTTCGTTGCTGTTACAGCCACCCATAAACTTGATATTGTCCATAAGGTTGTCATGGATAAGATGCTGAAATCATATTTATTCAGGCCTGTGCTATGGTGCCTGATTTGTCTAAGAAAGCGACACTTGTTGCTTTTTTATTGTTAGATCGAGTGCCCTGAAATTATTCTACCTGTCAGTGTTGAGGTATTTGACTATTTTCCATTGGTCTAAAGTTTCAGTCATTGATGTTCTCTCTTTTTTCTTTTGAAGGCCAAATATCGAAGCTCATCTTGGTGGATAAGGTTTTTCGTTCAAACCAGCTTAGAAGAGAATGAAGGTGCTTATAAGAAGTTCGAGCAAGCGGCAGCCAAGAAATCATACAAGCCCGCATGCCAAATTTTCCACCTCAAGCCTCTGAATTGAAGATGATAAAACTGCTTTCAACCTGTACTTTATAGCAGGTGTCCAGCTTTTCTGTTTTATTATAGTTATGGAAGATCATACATGCTTAGTCTATGTTCAAAATTTTGACATGGAAGGTATAAACTACAGAAGTCCTGTCTGCGCTAGAGTGCTTTAATAGCCATCCACATTTGCTGCTAGTTCTCTTACTCTGTTGTCTGTTGTAATTGTAAAGTAATTCTTTCAAGATACTGCTTAGCTTGGCTCGATAAATGTAATAGCAAAAAAGAACTTTTTTTGATTATTTATTGGTATTCTTATTTCTTACATACCAAGAACATACTCCTTCCGTCCCAGAAAAATAGTCCAGTTTGAAATGTATAACTTTTTAATTTGGTCAGCACACCAAATGTACAATTCATTTTATGCTCATAACTTTCATTAATGCTCTTTTTAGTTATTTTTATAAAAGTTAACTATTTTATTTAAAATTTAAATTTGATCAAAATTTTTAAACCTTAAAAAATATTGACAATGGATCTTGATGGAAAGATCTCGTTACGTAGATTAATTTGATATATAACACATTTTTTTAATTATTCATGTATTAAAAGATATAATCATTTAAAAAAATAGAAAAAAACTTAAAAAAAATGAAAAATAAAGAAAGTGGATCTTGTTTTCTTTACCACTACTCTTTTGGATATTTAAGTCATTTCAATTCAATTAATTTTGATTCTTGTGAAACTGGACAATTTTTATAGGACAGTAGTAGTATTATTTTGTGTCCCAAAATGACTGTTTATCCGTTTTTTATTTTTTAATGTACATTCAAACTAGTTAATTTTAAAATTCTTAAAATAACCTTCCAATTCCAAGTAGCCTTTTTGACTTTTTCTCTCCTCCGCCCACCGGGAAACAAAATCAAAAGCGCGATGGACGTCGGATACAGACACACGTTGGCCGTTGCTGCTTGCCTGATTGCTGCACAATTTTATTCATGAACTTCGAAGACGAGAACACAGTTAAAGAGAAAGACATTAGAGACTTGGAATTGGTACCTGGGATTTGAAGTTTTTGGTTTATTTTAGTTGTAACAAAATAAATGTTCGGCTATGTACTGCAACAGAAAGCTTACAAGTTTCAAACTTGACAAGCTAATTAAGTTCAAATTCTTTTCTGCTTCTTCTGCATACCTTGCGATTCCCCAACATATCAGCTTTGATCCTAAACCCATTTCAGAATCATGCACGGAAGAAGACATAAGCCAAAATCAGAACATTCTTTACTGCCTTGTGAACCACCCCAATCCAGAAGTCGCTGCATTTCCTTACAAGGGATTCTCGAAAATCACCGACCACTTAGTTGGACGTGCATTGCACGGGATTCTGTTGAAGGACCCGTGGCAGCCCTGGACGTATTCCGACCTGAGCGTCCTCCATTTAAACACCTTGATCAATATGTATGCAAAACTTGGGAGAATCAAAGAGGCCCGCCACGTGTTTGATGAAATGTCAGATAGGAATGGTTCTTCTTTGAACAACATGGTGTCTGGTTATGTTAGGCTGGGTTACTACATGGATGCACTTTTGCTGTTTGCTCAAATGTGGGGTCGAGGTGTTGAGCTCAGTGGGTTCCTTGTTGCTAGTTTATTGACTGCCTTTTGCAGATCGAAAAACATGGCTTTGGAAGGGTTTCAAATTCATAGCTTGGGGCTGAAAACAGGGCTGCTTGATGACGTTTATGTGGGCACTTCTTTGATGCATTTTTATGGTGGATATGGATTCTTGACTAGTGCTCAGAAGCTATTCGAGGACATTCCAGAGAGAAATGTGGTTTCTTGGACTTCGTTTATGGTTGGGTGCTCAGATAACGGGGATAATGGGATGGTGATTGATGCATACCGGAGAATGAGACATGAAGGGATCGGTGCCAATCAAAATACGTTTACTACTGTAATTTGTTCGTCTTGTGCACTTGGTGATGAATTTTTGGGCCATCAGGTCCTGGGTCAAGTCATTAAGTCAGGATTAGAGGATAACACCTCAGTAGCTAATTCCCTTGTTTCCATCTTTGGCACTTTTGGCAGATTGGAAGAAGCATGTTCTGTTTTCCATAAGCTGGATGACCGTGATACCATATCATGGAATTCCATTCTGGCTGCCTTTGCACATAATTCTCTACATGAGCAATCTTTCAAATGTTTTGAGGATATGCGCCATGATCATGGCGATATAAATTCAATTACTCTTAGCACATTAGTGTCAGTCAGCAGTTCTCCAGAATATTTGAAATGGGGCAGAGGGATTCATGGTTTGGCCGTGAAAATGGGATTGGATTCGGTTGTTTTAAATAATACGCTTCTGACTATGTACAGCGAAACAGGTAGATCTGAAGAGGCCGAGAGTTTGTTCAATGGAATGAGAGACAAAGATTTGATTTCTTGGAATTCCTTGATGGCTGGCTATGTTTCAAAAGGAAGGAGTGTAGATGCCTTGCGATTATTAACTTTCCTCCTGGGCACGAAGAAATATATAAGCTACGTAACATTCACTAGTGCCTTGGCAGCTTGTTCTAATCCTGAATTTGTTCTTGAAGGCAAGGCTGTCCACGCACTTGCACTCGTGTTTGGATTCCAAGAGAATCTAATAGTGGGGAATGCATTAGTGACCATGTACGGCAGGAGTGGGGCAATGCTACATGCTAAGCAGGTATTCCAGACAATGCCTGAGAAAGAGTTGGTCACTTGGAATGCTCTCATAGGAGGCTATTCTGAGAATGAGGAGCCAGATCAGGCTCTCAAAGCTTTTAAACTAATGTTGGAAAATGGTGAACTGCCGAACTACATAACCATGACAAATATTCTAGGTGCTTGCTCAGCTCCTCCTAAACTACAGAAACTTGGACTTCCATTGCATGCATATATAGTTCAGATGGGATTCGAAACAGATGAATATGTGAAGAACTCCCTTATTACAATGTATGCTAACTGTGGTGATCTCAACTCAAGTAAATCGATATTTGAAGAATTAATTAACAAGACTTCTGCAACTTGGAGTGCTATGGTTGCTGCAAATGCTCATCAGGGATATGGAGAAGAGGCTTTGAAACTTTTGCTGGAGATGCAAAGGGCTAAAGTGGATTTTGATCAATTTAGCCTTTCTGCTTCTTTGGCAGTTTCTGCAGACTTGGCTTCTTTGGAAGAAGGTAAACAGCTTCACGGATTAGCTATCAAACTTGGATTTCACTCGTATCATTATGTTGAAAATTCTGTGATGGATATGTATGGGAAGTGTGGTGAGCTTGATGATGTGCTTAAATTACTACCAGAACCACCTACGCGGTCAAGATTGTCTTGGAATATTTTAATTTCCTCTTTTGCTCGGCATGGACATTTTCAAAAGGCTATCCAAACATTTCAAGATATGTTAACTTATGGATCAAAACCTGATCATGTCTCCTTTGTCTCTCTTCTCTCTGCATGTAGTCATGGGGGTTTAGTTGACGAGGGGCGTACATATTTCAATAGAATGACTACGGAATTTGGAGTCATAGCTGAAATACCGCACTGTGTATGCATAGTTGATCTTCTTGGACGATCAGGAAGACTTGCTGAAGCTGAGGCGTTCATTGAGAAGATGCCAGTGCCGCCGAATGACTATATCTGGCGAAGCTTGTTAGCGGCGAGCAGGATACATGGAAATATGGATATGGGCGAAAAAGCTGCAAAACGTCTTCTTGAATATGACCCGTCAGATGATTCTGCATATGTTCTTTATTCCAATGTTTGTTCTGCTTCAGGGAAATGGCAAGATGCGCAGAATGTCTGGCTGGAAATGGAAACAAATAGTGTAATGAAGAAACCTGCCTGCAGTTGGGTTAAGACTAAAGCAGAAGTGAGTACCTTTGCGATCGGGGATCGCTCACATCCAAAATCCGAACAGATTTACATGAAGCTAGCAGAACTGAGGAGAAAGATTAATGAAGCAGGCTATGTGGCTGATACAAGCTTTGCTTTGCATGACACTGATGAGGAACAGAAAGAACACAATTTGTGGAATCACAGCGAGAGATTAGCGCTTGCTTATGGTCTGATCAGCACTCCTGAAGGTTCAACATTAAGGGTTTTCAAGAACCTCCGTGTTTGCGGGGATTGTCATTCAGTTTTTAAGTTAGCGAGCAGCATACTGCAAAGGGAAGTTATACTTCGGGATTCGTACCGGTTTCATCATTTTAAAAATGGCGCATGTTCTTGTGGTGACTACTGGTAGCATATGATAAGGTTAAGGTATATTTGGTAGTAAGCTTATACAGGGGTGATAATTGTAGCCAGACCTTCATTGATTTTTCACCACAAATATTTTACACCCTGAAAAATTGATTCACCATTGTGTGTAGATTTCTGTGTTATGCTCTGCATTGCTTGTTTCTCTTGACTACAGCAATTATATTGGACTAGGAGGAATAAAATTCGTAAAGATAACTATTGTTGTGAACTATCATTGGCTTCTGTTTTATTGTTGATGAAAGCATTCAGGATTCTATTGTTGTGGCACAAAGTTACTAGAAAAAGAACATATAATATCGATCATGCATCTGTTAAAAAATTTGTCTAATGTGACATAGATTGGACATGGTTGATGTAAATGGATGGCACATTGTGGATAAAGTGCTTTTGTTTCCTAGTAATTGTTGTCTTTGTTGATTCATCTTTTGTAGGAATTGGACATTAGATACAACTAATCATGTCAAGAAGGCCAATTATTTCCCGTCAATTTGCAGATTGTGGGAGCACTCCGTTGGTGGGATCTTTAGTCCTCGTTTATTGGGCTGGTTCTTTGTATAAGTTGCAGTCACATTATTGATTTATTAGACTCTCTTAGTTTGCTGTGTTGCATTTTCTGTTCATCCTGTTTCTTGTAGATGTGATTTTGTTCACCCACCTGTCCAAGGCAAATACTTTCACTGGTTACTTGTGAACTTTTAGGCCATATTGCTGATAGTTAATTACATGTATCATGGTTCAGGTGTGAACTCTTATTTCAACTTGATCTATTCTGGATTGATAAGATGCAATATTGTTTTTTCCTTGGCACATGCTTCTATGCACTTGCTGCCGGGATGTTTACCTGATCTGCAAAATGTGTCTGAACTCCGAACTTACAAGAAATCTTTGTATTACAGGTGGGAGGAGCGGGCGTATAAATGCTATAAATAGACTGAAGGTACCTTTTCATAAAGTTTTTTTGAATTATGTTCATTCCCTTTCTTGCTTCCAAGTTTACTTACCATATGCATTTAGATGATTTAGGACATCAAAATTTTATAGTATTTGCATGCTCTGCATCTGGTTAGTGCTACCCAGTGATGTTTGCAATTGGAAGTTTGTTGAACCAAAGCCAGAGTCTCGGGCAGAGATGAAAGCTTCAGTATTTAGATGAGCATGTTATTCTAGTAAACGAACTGGATCAGAAGTTTTGTATATCTTAGTTTGCTTATAAACATGAAGGTTATTTTATTGGTTGCAATGTTGTTGTAGTGGCGGTACTTTCATCATATGATACTCCCTCTCTCATGAAATTCTTGTCCAGTTTGGATTTTCATTTTTAGTACAAATAGAACTAAAAGTGAAAACCCAAACTAGACAATAATTTTGAGACGAAAGGAGTATGAAAAAGTTTCTTTAGCTCTCTGCAACATTCCAAAGGTTTTGTTTGGCCAACCTTCCATTTGTATTTTGTCTCATTTTACCTCTTAAACACGAAACCCAATGGAAAAGAAAACATCATCCAAACAACTTTTTGATTTATGTTTTAAATTTCAACTCGAAACACTTTTTGTTAGTATAATGACCATTTTAGAACTACAAATAGTTCAGTGATAAATTTGGTAAGATTTCGTTGTTGAGTGATTGTTTTTGAAAAAGTTCTTTTTTGCAGTGATTATAATTGACAGTTTTTAATTGTTTAGTAATGACTTGTACTTGATATTTCAAAATGTAGTTTAAAATACTTTTTTTCAAAACCAACATCCAAATAATATTTTTATTTCCCATTTAGTTTTTAATTTGAAACACTTTCCACTTTTAAGTGGCAAAGTGAAATGTAAGTTGTCATCCAAACAAGCACTTAGTAAACTTCTGCTGTTGCTTTCTTTTCTCACTTTTAGACTTTCATAGTTATCTCTCTTTTGGTTATTTGAAATTCACAAGCACATGCATTTTGCTAGAGCTTGCTCCATGTACATGTAGGTGATGCATTTTTTCTTTTTTGATACAGTAGGTGATGCATCCTGTGCACTTGAAGTGGGGAATTTTGCATGTCTCTGATATCATAAAAAAAAAAAAAGCCAAGTGGACTTCAAGATCGATACGGCCCATTAGGCCCATATCTCTTTCCAGATCTGACTGATGCAAAGCTATAAGATTGAAGTGAACTGCGGATTTTCGGCGGTCGGAGCCAGAGTCCATGGCTACAAGAGAAAACAACCACCATCATTCCAAGAAAACGACACCGTCTTTCAGCTCTTCCCGGTTGTTTATCTCTCTCATCTGTCTGGTTTCCCTCCTCCTTGTCATTTCTCTCTTCAAAACCTCTCCGAGAGAAACACCGACACAGCCCGAGCAGAACATTCAAACGGCGCCGTTGCAGACCGGCGGCGACACTCCTAGTCTCACCCTGAGCTCCGACTGTGACTACTCCGAAGGCCAATGGATTTATAATCCTACGGCCGAGAAATCATTTCGATACGATCAGACGTGCAAGGAGATATTCAAAGGATGGAATTGCATTGGCAGTAACAAATTCAACGGTATTGATCTGGTGAAGTGGCTCTGGAAGCCTTCCCAATGCGAGCTTCCCCAGTTTGATCCTCTTCTCTTCCTAAAACGCTTTAGAAACACTAATATCGGTATTTATTCTTTTTCTCCAGACTCCTTTCTTTGCTTCAGAATGCTCAATGTTTCAGTGTAGAGTTTTATTCTTTTCGTTTCCTTTTCTGGGAACCCTTGCACGAATGCCTTTTCTTTGCTCCCGCGTTAACTTCATTGTTTTTATTTTGTGAAAAGAAGTTAGGATTTTAATGTGGTTCAAAGTATTTTATCATTGAAAATAAAGATGGAGGAGTTGGAGTAAATTTCAGCAAGTGATTGGCAAGGATAGCTACGCAGTAGAGAAATGAAATTCCTTATTATGTGATTTGGTTGGGAAAATAAAGAAAAGCTTCATATTTTGGATTTCGAATAGGATAAAATGAAACGGCCCTAGTCTGGATGGAAAAGCATTTTGAAATATATTAAGCTTTGCACTCTGCTTCACTTGTGTTTAGCTGAATCTCTCTTGCTCCTCTGCGTTCCTGTTTTAAATTGGCACCAGCAAACTGATCCTTTGTTAGGACGGGAATATTCTTGTTCTTGCTCTGTCTTCCCGTACATGTTTATGTGCGTCGAGATAGTATTCATTGTTTCAGAGCGCTAAAAGTTGATTAGGTTCCTTGTGGCAAGTGTCATGATGTCTAGCTTGTTAGTCATGCTGTTTCTTTGTGTAAAACTTCCATCTGCTGCATTTATATCATCATAGCAATTCTCTAAAGAGATAGCAGAAAGACTCAATATGTGGGCATTTCCTTTTTGTCCCCCCTTCTTTTCCTACAAGCTGTTTCGTGTTTAGAATCATGTTCAACTTTAACTAATCTTTTGGTATGCTTTAGTGGTGCACTCTGCTTTACTTGTGTTAAGGCTAAATCTCTCTTGCTCTTCTTCGTTCCTGTTTGTAACTGGCACCAGCGAACTGATTCTTCGCTATGGACAGGCATAATATCGTTATAGCTATGAATTCCTTCCTTTTCATCTTTTGGGAGTAGAATACGTTGTTCCAGAGGACTAAATGTTGATTAAGTTTCTCGTGGCAAGTGTCATGGTGATTTAAAACTTCCGTCTGCTTTATTTATATCGGCAAAACAAGTCTTTTCAGATTTGGTTGTCTGCTTTATTTATATCAGAAAAAAAACTCTTTTGATATTTGGTTTCGTTGTACTTTATGTGAAGATATGAGAAACCGAAGTCCTGTTTTTTTCCCTTTTTTCCCCCTCCAAGATGCTCTCTTGTATTTAGTACCATGTTCAACTTCACTTAACCTTTTTGCATCCTTTAATATGTTCTACATCTGGACCTTATTGAACTTGAACAGTGCAGGGTTTGTAGGCGACTCCTTGAACAGGAACATGTTTGTTTCACTTTTCTGCACGCTGAAACGCGTGTCAAATGATGTGAAAAAGTGGCGTCCGGCTGGGGCTGATCGTGGCTTTACCTTTCTCAGCTATAATCTTACAATTTCATATCACCGGACAAATCTTTTGGCTCGTTACGGTAGGTAAGCGGAGCTTGATGGTGTATTTGTTATCAATGAGTCAAATATCCTCCCTTTAAGTGTTCGGATGGGTGTGTCTGATCCTTACTGTTTTAGTTCACAGGTTGTTCTTGGTTATAACTTTGATTCTAATCTTTTGCTTTCACCTTGTTTACCTCAGGTGGGTTGCAAGCACCAATGGTGGTCCTTTAGAATCACTTGGATATAAGGAAGGTTATAGGGTTGATGTTGATATACCAGATGGAACGTGGGAAAAAGCTCCTAGTTTTCATGATATTCTTATTTTTAATACAGGACACTGGTAAGACATTTGTGTTTCTGAGTATTTTTTGCATTTTCTAGAAACCTACTGTTTAGTGATTGCATGGAAAAATTGCCGCTTCACAACTATTTTAGAAGTTCACTTTAAGGTTTAGTCACTGTGTTTAGCTTTGTGATTTTTGAATAGGTGGTGGGCTCCCTCGAAGTTTGACCCCCTGAAATCGCCAATGCTATTTTTCGAAAAGGGTAACCCAGTGATACCACTCGTGCCTCCAGATGTTGGCCTTGATATGGTCTTGAAACACATGGTATGACACCATCAACCTGCTCTTTATAATCCAACACTCATTAGAAAAATTGCAGTTTGTACATTAAAAGTCACATTTCTTTTCTTGTTTTCTCCAGATTCCATATGTTGAAAAAACAATTCGCCCAGGCACAACAATATTCTTTAGAACTCAATCTCCAAGGCATTTTGAAGGGGGTGATTGGGATCAAGGTGGTAGCTGTCAACGTTCACAGCCGCTGTCATCAGAAGAAGTATGTTCCTTTATAGTTTGCTGTCACTACAGTTTTTAAGTTTGGGAGCTGATGTTTGTGAGGGGTGAGCTAAACTTTATTTCAACAATAATCAACAGGTGGAAGAATTTTTCTCTGTTGGAAGAAATGGAACAAATGTGGAGACGCGGCTTGTTAATGAACATTTATACAAGGCCCTGAAGGGCTCTAGTTTTCACATCTTGGAGATTACCCGGTTGAGCGAGTACAGAGCTGATGCTCATCCATCAACTGCAGGTGGTAAAAAACACGATGATTGCATGCACTGGTGCTTACCAGGCATTACAGATACTTGGAATGATGTATTTGTAGCACATTTAAACAGGATCTACAGTAGCAATTAGTAAATTGGAGGGTGTATTGTTTTCTTGTCGATTGTAACAGGTAATCTATGGTTCCTTTTAGGCGTTTTACATCTAGTGGATTACTAGCTAGCATTCAATGTATCATCTAGCATTACTCATTATTATTTCTTCCACTTCCACCTCACCAAGAATACTATATGTATCTGCGTGCACTCTGTAAATGAAATTTTGTTTGTCATTTGTGTTCATTATCTGGTCGTCTTTCTTATTTCTTTTTTTTTTCTTTTTGGTTTAATTTTATACGGTTATTCTAGGAACCAACTGAGTTGGTTAAATAGTGGAAAATACTTTTAGTGATTAAACAATAGTGATCGACAAACGTTAAGATAATATAGAAAAAAACTCTTTTAGAAGGTCTCAATTTGAACCAGTGATCCTCTCAAAGTTTTGGGTTTTTTTCTTCAGAAGCTTCTATACCTTCATCCACAATTCCATTTAGATTACATGGTTATTGTCTTGCCTCTTGATTTTTTTTGTCCTAACCTTAAGTATCGAAAAGGGAAAGCAGGACGAGTGTCAACCGCAGGTAATTGTCTTCTTTCCATCAATGGTTACGAAGCTAAATGCCGATCGGTAAGCTTGATTGGCATTTGAATATCAAGATCTGTCAACCACAAATTTAAAAGTGCACCTTTAGTAAAAGTTACTATAATCTTGGAACATTTTTCACCAGAGTACAGCGGAGGTTATGGTGATTTCCGGTGAAACAGTTAACAAATCGAGAGAATTGGTAATTCTGGAAACTTCAATATTATTGAAGTTGTGTAAAAATGAAACATCATATATTAAATCGTTCTGAACAACACATATATATATATATATATATATATATATATATACATTGACTAATCCTGACCAACTAACATTTACAAGCTAACCCTACAACTATCCGTATTTACAAAGAAGACCCCTGACATACAACACTATAATGATTGTATATCCTTGTCTATTGCTGGATCAGGAATTAGGACGTCAAAATCATTCTTCAACACGCCCCCCTCAAGAGGATCAGGGGAAGAAGACCACATGCGCATCTTGCCCAAGAGAAACTGGAAAGGAGGGGAAGCTAGTGATTTGGTAAGCAAATCAGCAAGTTGATGAGAAGAACTGATGTGATGAAGATCAATGAAATCAGAAGTATAACAATTACGGACAACATGGCAGTCAATTTCTATGTGCTTAGTACGCTCATGAAATACGGGATTACCTGCAATGTAAATGGCCGCCTTGCTGTCACACCAAAAAGAAATAGGCAAGAGCACAAGAATGTGAAGATCATGTAAGAGATAACTAAGCCATTGCAGTTCCCTCACAGTGAACGCCATTGCTCGATACTCAGCTTCAGCTGAAGAGCATGATATAGTAGGTTGCTTCTTAGTAGTCCAGGAGACTAGACAATCCCCTAGAAACACACAGTAGCCTATGAGAGAGTGTCGCGTGAACTCACAGCACCCCCAATCAGCATCAGAATAGGCCCTGGGCGTAAGAGAGGTAGAAGCAGAATAGAAAAGTCCTTGAGTTCTAGTGCCAGCAATGTATTTGAGCATATGGTGAGCAACATTCCAATGAGACTGACGAGGTGCATGAACAAACTATGATAACTGTTGCACAGCATAAGACAAATCTGGTCGAGTAAACCGAAGATACAACAATCTCCCAACAAGTCTCCGATATTGAGAGGAATCAGGCAGCAAGGGTAACTTATCCTTCTTCGAAAAACGAAGATCACTAGGAAATGGAGTTGAAACAGGCTGAGAAATCCAACATCCCTGCATCAGTAAGTAAGTCATGTATATACTTATGCTGACTCAAGTACATGCCAGCAACTCCTCAGGCAATTTCGATCCCTAAGAAGTACTTAGCATGCCCTAAATCTTTTATAGTGAAAGCGGTGTCTATTACAGCCTTCACTTTTTGAATTTCAGTCTCATCTGAACCTGTAATCAACACATCATCAACATAGACTAATAACAAAACAAACATGATGAAGTATTGAAAATAAACAGGCAGGGATCAGCATGCGACTGTTTAAACCCATATCTGGTAAGAACAGAGGTAAAAGCATGATTCCATTGGCGAGAAGCTTGCTTGAGGCCATAAACAGACTTGTGGAGCTTGCAAACCTGCCTTAGTAGTGCTTTAGTGTACCCAGGAGGAGGTAACATGTACACGTCTTCCTCCAAAGTCCCATGAAGGAACGCATTATTGACATCGAGTTGATGAACATTCCAACCTCGATGTACAGCAAGAACAAGCAAAACCCGGACTGTGACAGTTTTCGCAACTGGGGAGAAAACTTCAAAAAAATCCTCTCCCTCGATTTGATTATACCCCTTTGCAACAAGGCGAGCCTTATAACGGTTGACAGTCCCATCAGACTTACATTTGATCTTATACACCCACTTGCAACCTATTGCTCGTTTTCCAGGGGGTAGGGAAGTCAAAGACCAAGTACCATTATTTTCCAAGGCGCCTACTTCCTCATTCATGGCAGTAATCCAATGACAGTGATGCCGAGCCTGATTAAAAGTCTGCGGCTCTCTTATGGTTGACAAATTTGCTAGAAACCCTAGATGTGCATCAGAGAAAGAGCAAGACTCACTAGAGGCTACAGGGGCTGAAACAGGTGGTAATTGAACACCGCTATCAGTGAGATCAAAATCTCGAAGCCAGGTGGAGAGATGGTGAGTTCTATCACTCCTACGGGGTTCTGGAGGAGGGGAATGAGTGACAGAAGGATTAGAAAACTGTGAAATAGAGGCATCTGGATGAACTGAGGAGTGTGATGGAGAGACTGAGAAAGTGGGAGGGGAGTGATTCGATAAAGGTGATATCAAAGTGGCATTTGGATTGGTTGGCAAAGAATCAGTAGTTGAAGAAGGTTCATAATGAATATATGTATAGACAGGACAAGGTAATACAGGTTGATCGGCAGTATCTCCAAGCATGGTTTTACAAGGAAAAATCATTTCCTGGAATTGAACATGTCTGGATATGATGATCTTTTGTTGGTGAATACAATAAATTTTATATCCCTTCTGACCACTGGGATATCCTACGAAGACTCCTCTAAGGGCCCTAGCATCAAACTTATCTTTGTTCGGTGCCATATTATGAACAAAAGCCAAACAGCCAAAAGTCCGCAAATGATCAAGATTAGGTGGTTTATGGTGTAAAATGTCAAAAGGAGTCTTCCAAAGGAGCAGTTTAGAGGGTGTTTTATTGATAAGGTAGGTAGCCGTTAGGATAGATTCACCCCGAAACCTTTTTGATAAACCAGATTGGAAAAGCAGTGATCTAGCCACCTGCAAGATATGCTGATGTTTTCTTTCAACCACCCCATTCTGTTGGGGTGTGTATGGACATGTTCGGTGATGAACAATGCCATGTTCTAAGAGAAGATTTTGCACTATGGCATTAACAAACTCGGAACCATTGTCAGTCCTAAGGATCTTGACATGGTGGTTATATTGATTTTTCACTAAGACGAGAAACTGCCTAATTGTTTCGGCTACTTGTGACTTGTGTTTAAGAAGGAAAGTCCAAGTAGTCCTACTAAAATCATCCACTATGGTAAGAAAAGACTGAGCATTTGTCAGAGACAATATTTTGTACGGGCCCCATACATCAGCATGTATTATCTCAAATACATTACTAGTACTGATTGAACTCAAAGGAAACGCAAGCTTATGCTGTTTAGACAATGGACAGGTTTCACAAAAGGGCAATTTATTAGTAATATCAGCAAAATCAAGGTTTGATACATGTCTCAAAGCATCACTAGAAGGGTGTCCTAGTCTGTTGTGCCAAATAGACACAGCAATATTAGCCTTAGCAGAAGAATCAGGAATAGTAAGGTTAGAATGATCAGAAAATACAGCAGGGAATCTCCTTGAAACTGACAAAACTAGCTTAGAATATAAAGTGTGTGTTTGCTGAATGGCAGCTTGTGTAAAGGAATACGAATTGACTATGTAGAGTCCATGGACAACCATGCTGCTCCAAGGACCTCATTATTCCTCAGGTCCTGTAGCAAACAAAAATCATCAAAGAACTTCACATAGACCCCTGAAGTTTGTGCAAGTTTTCTACCAGATAGAAGGTTATGTTTAAAGGTTGGTACATGCAACACGGATGAAAGTGTAAGTCTACTAGAAAGTTCTACTTCTCCCATATGATGCACATCCCTAATACTCCCATCAGGCAGATAAACCGGCGTGTATGTATCAACTAATCTAGCATGTATCATCAATGAGATAAAGCAACACATATGTGCTGTGGCACCACTATCAGTTATCCAAGAATCAACACTAATCACATGAACTAGATTAGCAGTCAATTGAGTAATGACATGACTACCTGAAAAATCTTGCAAATGAGGATAATTCACCCTGGCGTGGTTGACAGATGTTGTTGGAACGCCTTCTATAGGAGATTTTCCCTTCATCATCTTTCCAAGTTCTGCTTGCACTAAATTGGCAACCATCACTTGCCAGTCTCCTGCAGCTGGTTCTTTACTGTCAAAAGGCGAGTCTGCAAGATGAGCTTGCTGCTTGAATGTTTGTCGTGGTAACTGCTTATTTGTTGATCCTTGAAGTCCTTGCTGATTCTTGTTTCCATATTTCTCTTCCCACCAATCCGGGTATCCTTTGATCAAGAAACAATTGTCCCTTATATGCCCATGCCTGTTACACTGACTGCAAAATAATTTCATTTTTTCCTTCTTAGCTGCTGCCTTGATCTCCTTCCAGTCTTTCTGTTCTGTTTCCCTTTTCTAGACTCCTGGTTTAACCATCATGGCCACATTTTCAGGTTGCACCATAAGCACACTGCTTACCTGCTTCTGAGTTTCTTCATCCAGAAGCTTGGAGTAAATTTCATCCAGACTCGGCATTGGATCCATGCGCAGGATTTCACTTCTGAGCGACTCATAACAGTCATTCAAACCCATTAGCATTTGGTAGACCTTATCTTCGGTTTCTCTTTCATATAACTTCTTCATAGCATCTGCTTCACACACAATCGGAGGTCTCCATTGACTGTATTCATCCCATAGCTTGTTCAATTTATTGTAATACTCTACCATATTCATACTACCTTGGCTAATCAGTGCCATTTCTCTCTTCAATTGATATACCAGGGAACCATTCTTCTTTCCATATCCAGCCACAATTGTATCCCAAAGTTGCTTGGCAGTAGGAATGAATGTAAAACTACTGGCCTGACTAGCTTCTATGGATTTTAGAATCCAAGATCGAACCATACTATCAACTCTTCACCAGCGAAGGTAATCAGGCGAATTAATTGGAGGCATTATACAAGTACCATCTACAAATCCTAGTTTCATCTTTGCATGTAATGCAGTCATTGCAGACATCTTCCACATTAAGAAATTCGTAGTAGTCAAAGGAACACTTACCAATTGCATCCCAGGATTATCAGAACCATGCAACTGGAGATGTTCTTCCATGAACCAGTCCAGATCTCGATCAGTCATCGGACTTCAGGAAAATCCACGCTCAGTCCTTCGATTGTTCCTATCTGCTCTTCCAATTCCACGAGCAAAGCATTGTTCGTCTGCTCCCCGCTCTCGCTCGTGACTAATTTCTTCATAATCATTCTCCATGATGAAATCAAATGATTAGGTTTTGTTCTTGAGATAAAATCGAGAAGATTTATCGGTTTTGTAATCAGGCAGGATCACTCCTGCTCTGATAGCATCACCGGAGTACAACGGAGGTTATGGTGGTTTCCGGTGAAACAGTTAACAAATTGAGAGAATTGGTGATTCTGGAAACTTCAATATTATTGAAGTGGTGTAAAAATGAAACATCATATATTAAATCGTTCTGAACAACATATATATATATATATATATATATATATATATACATTGACTAATCCTGACCAACTAACATTTACAAGCTAACCCTATAACTATCCGTATTTACAAGGAAGACCCCTGACATACAACACTATAATGATTGTATATCCTTGTCTATTGCTGGATCAGGAATTAGGACGTCAAAATCATTCTTCAACAATTTTAGATATAAATATCGGCGAAAAATGGCTTCATCTTTCAATCCAACCATCCCGGATTTTGTTTTAATCTGCGACATACCAAGGAAGGAAAAAAAAAAAAGAAGATATGGAGCTTAAAACTAGGGTTTCATTCCTAGTTTTCTTCTTGGCCTGCATAATTAGCTGCGGCCTTCCTTTCGCAAAGGCTCAAAACTCTCCACAAGACTACGTCGACGCCCACAACAAGGTCCGGGTTCCGCTGGGTCTTCCGCCGGTGAGTTGGTCACCCAAGGTGGCGGAATACGCGCACAAATATTCTGCCGCAAAACTGCCCGATGAAGCATTCCGAGAATGATCCCTGTGGCGAGAACCTCGCAAAGGCATCTTGGGAGATGACCGCGGCCGAGGCGGTCAATATGTGGGCCAGGGAGGTCAAGGATTACAAGTACGCCGACAATTCGTGCACGCCGGGAGCAATGTGCGGCCACTATACTCAGCTTGTGTGGAAGGATTCCGTCTACATTGGTTGCTCCCGGAACAAATGTCCCGATGGCTTTACTTTCATTAATTGCAACTACGATCCCCCGGGCAACTACGTCGGCGAAAAACCTTACTGAGAATTTGAAGTGATAAATTATATATTCAAGTGAGGAGAACTCTTTTCTAGGTATACATGTTTGTGAAACGTTAGATTAATTAACAGTTTGATTTTTCCAGCCTTTTTTTTTTTTTTTTGTATGATTTTACGGTTTTTTGTGTCTTAGTTAACACGCACGTAACTAGACAATATTAACGATGAATAAGCTGTAAACCCAAGATCACGAAGTTGCTGCCCATTTTGAATAAATTGGGTGTTTTCCTTCCTTTTGATCAGTTAATTAATATTCTAATGTTCTTTTAGTTTTTGTACTATCTTTAGTGTGACAAACTCCCTCCAGCCCTATTTATAAGACACGAATTAATACTAAAATTATTTTAATTTGTACCTAAGAATTAAGGCCGTTTCTGCCATTGAAGATGAGTTGAGAAAGAGATAAAAATCCGGGAAAAGATTATTTCTGTACCGTCACGTAAAATTTACTCTAATGATCGATGATTACAGAGTTACTTAGATAACAAATCTAAACAAACAGCTGTATTTGATAGGTACAATTACAAATGCGAACTCACCTAGAATGTACAAAAACTACCCATAAGTTACAAAACCATACAAGTAGCTAGGTCCTCTGCCTTCTAATACGTTGTACATCAGATTTATGATGAAGCCTCCTGGATCAAATTCTTCTTCAGCTATTTCATGAAGTTGATCCCTTAATTCGTACATAATTACTTAATTAGGATTAGAGAGAGTACAAGACAATGATTTTAGGATGCCGGAGTATTATATCTGTTGCTTGATTTGAGCTATAAAATTTGGTTTAACCTTATATTTATCATCTCGCGCGAGGAACTGTACTCATCATTATATTACGTACGCCCAAGCATTTCGGGAAACAAGTAAAATACTCATGATTTTACTTCAACAATGAAACAACTTTATCTCAAGTTATGATGATTATTACATTGTACATGGGTTGATCCTTATTAAAGTGCTTCATGTGGAATGTGTTACATTCGAGGATGATAGAAGATTGATCTAAATTGAAGTCAAGATCAAAACAACGTAACAACCAAAAAGACAATGAAAAAGATTTTTAGCAAAGGTATGTCGACCTTTCAGTCGCGAAAAGAAAATCCAGGAACAAGTCGACAGGAGAGAGTTTTCTTCTTCCTTTTTTTTTTTTTTTTTTTATAAAAAAAAAAAATACTGAGGAGGCTTTAAGCCTACTTTACAAAATAACTCCGGGAGAAAGAGTCGGGTTGTCAAAACTAAGCTATCTCGTGCTGTAGGAGGAAGTGTTGCCCAAATATGAATCCCTCTGAGGCGGAGTAGCTCAATCTAGCTAGCGAGGCTGCTACCTTATTTCCATTGCGGTCAATGTGGAGTATTTCTACTGTCCACGATTGGTTTAGTATAAAGAAAATTCTTCTTAGTACATTACTGGGCTGCATTAAGAGTTTTCTAAACCGTATTTTCCTGGATTTGTCCATTTGAGTTGGGCTTTGAATTTTGATCTTATTTCCAAATCTCTTATGTCTATTTTCAATTTTGAATATTGTGACTTGTGCAGTTATTTGATAAAATATCTTAGAATGAAAATAATCCAAAAAAACCAGAAAATAATAATGAAATCCAAACAAATTGGGAAAAATCTAAAAAGGACAAGAAGGATTTAACGTCCTTCGCCAACTTATTCATTGATTATCTGTTCTTGAAGGCCAGGTTGACACACGTCAGAAATATTTTTCCAGGTCTTTTATGCCAGAGATTGATCTTGTCTTCAACTTGAGTTTATATATTTCATCATCGATCCTTGAATACAAGAGATTCCAAATGAATTACTTTAGCAATTAATAGATAACCCATGCATAATGTAACGATCGTTATGATTAGAGGTGTTCATGGTCCGGATTGATAACAATCCGTAACCAAACCGTTCATTACGGTTTGAAAAATTTTCAATCCGTAATCTGACCGGATTGGTGTATAATCCGGACCAATCCAATCCATTTTTAACGGTTTGGTTTGGGCGGATTGGCTGTTTGGGCTTCTAATCGGACCTTTTCATTTTGGGCAAAAAATTAAACATTTTTTTTGTTGTTAGACCTTTTTTGGGGGCTTTTCCTGAAATTTTTTGGGCCTTTTTCAGCTTTTTTTTTGGAGGCTTTTCTTGAAAAAAAAGAAAATTAGTCCATGGAGAATTCGAACACACAACCTTCAGCAAGGTCTACAACAATACCAATGAGACAACTTAGTACTTTCGATAAAAATCTCTATCCGACACTATATATACAAAACTAATATATTATTATTTTATAATATATATACGGTCCGGTCCGGATTGACAGTGCCAAACCATAATGCGGACCAGATTGACCGGTTTTTAATTTTTCAATCCGTCGGTTTAAAAATATAATTATAATCCGCCCGTTAATCTGAATCGATGATCAAATTGGGCAGTTCTATCGGTTTGAGCCAAACCGTGAACACCCCTAATTATGATTATGATTTGGAACGAGGTATAAAGACCTATACATAAGCACATCAGAACTATTTTAGTTTCCTACCACTTATCACGTATTGGATGCCAGTAATGAATGATTATCCCTCAATTACGCCAAGAATTTTTCATAACATTAAGCGTTCTTCCTAATATTAAGTTAATAAGTTAAAATGATGAATTTGATATGGAACTGGCAACGGAACGGGAGTCATTTTACAGTGAAATTTTTGTTTTTCCACACCAAGAAAAAAAGTAAGGCCAAATCTAAAGTTCGAATTCGTCGATCCTCTAGATTAAATAAGAATACTAATTTTCCATAAGATTAAAATTGTATTTGATATAGAATTTAGTATATTTGCTGTTATATTTTTTTTCATAATTATATATAATATTCTTTTTAAAAAAATTAGTAAGTTAAAGTTAACATGTTGTATATATTAATGATAAGCTTTTTTTTTCTTGAGATTTGGATTTGTCAGATAAAGTAATTTTTTTTTTATAAACCATTGGCCATACATGCACTTAAATCATTTTTAGCCCATATCCTCTGAAAGTTTGGGGGAAAAAAAAATCTCTACTAGAAGATGACAACTCAAATCTGTAAGCCCGTCCTCTCAAATGTATGTGTTTTTTTTTCCTCTTTAGAAGCTTCTATAAAAGTGAACATTTTCATTCAACAATCGAATTAATCAGTTTAATGTCATTTTGAATCAACAATCGTCAACCACAAAAAAAAAAAAAAGAAAGAAAAAAAGATAAAAAGAAACAACAACTACAAAAGGTAAAATTAGCGATGTATTTCTCTTTCGCCTTTAGTAAAGTTCCTAAATTCTTGCAAGATTTTTCGGTATAAAAATGGCCTTGCATTATTACTTTTGCTGCATTCCAAAAGAAGAAAACAACATGATGGAGCTTCAAACTAGGGTTTCATTCCTAGTTTTCTTCTTGGCCTCCACCAGCACCCTTCATTTCTCCATGGCCAGCCGAAGCACTCATCAAGAGTTCGTCGACGCACACAACAAAGTCCGGCAGCCGTTAGGCCTGCCTCCGGTAAGTTGGTCATTCAGGGTGATGTTATACGCAAAAGCATATGCTGAGAAACTTAGGGCACAAAACTGCCCGATGAAACATTCAACCGGACCCTTCGGCGAGAACCTTGCGAAAGCATCGTGGAATATGAACGCGACAGAGGCGGTGAATATGTGGGCTAAGGAGGTCAAAGATTACAACTACGGCGCCAACTCGTGCACGCCGGGAGCCATGTGCGGCCATTATACCCAGCTTGTGTGGAAGGATTCCGTCAACATTGGTTGTGCAAAAATCAAATGTCCCGACGGCTTTACTTTCGTGACTTGCAACTATGATCCCCCGGGCAACTACGTCGGGGAAAAGCCTTACTGAATTTGAATTTTTTAATTTCAAAGAAAGAAAAATCAATTCAGGGATGCAATTTCTTAGCTAGAGTTCATGTTGTATAATGTTAGGTAAACAGTTTTTATTTGCATCGTTGCGTGGTTTTGTTTGTCTTAGTAAAATTTGGGTATCAAACAAAGCCATGAAGAAGCTGTAAACCCAGCATTATAAGCTGCCTTGTTGAATAAATAAATTGGTGTTTTTTCTCTTCATTTTGAGTTTATAAGTTGACACTTCATTTAAGTTCATTCGTTTTATATGAATTAATAGTTCTTCATTCGCATTACGTTCTGTTCGTTTTGCATTTTTAAATATCTTCAGTTTTCACTTGTCTCTGGTCATCATCAACATAATATATAAAACCGTCCTTTCTCCGTTCTCACGTGAGAGTTTTGGTGACACTCTCACCCGTGTGATAGATGAATATGCGTTTTCTTCTTAAAAAATTAAATGTAACAATAAATGCTTTAACATTAAAATGGAGTCATTAAAATGCAATCAAGAAACGAAACCTCCTCCGTTATTACAGCAATACGTTTTTAATTTCACACTCATAATAATCCGTTCCGGCAAATAATTAAGAGAAAAGTGTACCTAGTGTACAAGTGTAATACACTCTCCTTGTATGCAATTGGATTTTCTCTCCCCCAACCCAAATTTTAGTAAGTGGATCTTCTTCCCCCCAAATTTTAGCCACACACGCATTTAATGCTCCAAATTTTATCTCTTTTCTTCACACACATTTAATTTCAAACTGTTTTTTTTAATCTTATCCAGTTAGTTTTTATATTATATTATTTTATGAGAAATCTTTTTTATGACGATTTGTTTTATTAGGATATCATTTTAGTATTGTGCAAGTCAACTGAATAAGATAATCCGCTCTGTTTAAATCTTGATGAATAATGATCCCATCCTAGATGAATAACAATACTAAAATGAAGAATATATGTAATTTTGCTAGATGAATAATTGTAATTTAATGAATGAATGAGATAACCTTATTGGATGAATAATGCATAACAGAATGAATAACTTTGATCAATAAAACTAACAAGATTATATTTTACAATGAGTTGATGTGAGCAACTAAACTAACAAACTTCTAATTATGTATTATACTAGACCAAAACTTAGAAAAAAAACTAGTCATTGGTTTTAACATATAAGGCCTTGAAGGAATCACCGATACTCGATACGGCTATGTTGATTGTGTGATTTCAGCAACTCTGCTAAACAAAGAAAACATTACAATAAGTGAGATTTTATATTCTATCAGAACTCTTTTTTGAGCAAAATATTGATTAATTGATAATGAATGAATACATGAATTAGCTCAATGATACTGATGAATAACCATACAATCAATGATACTGATGAATGAGCTTACTTATACTCAACGGATGAATACATGAATGAGCTAATTGATACTGATGAATAATGGTTCTTTTTACAACAAAAGAAACAAATTGATGAACAAAAAACATTAAAACTCAAGATTATAAAACCCAGATTTCCAACCAACAACATGATAAATAATCATACACAATAGATGAACAACCATACACAACGGATGAATAACCAAATTAATGAACAACAACAACATTAAATCCTAGAATTATAAAACCCAGAATTTCAACCAACAACGACATGATGAATAACCATACACAACGGATGAATAACCATACACAAACGGATGAATAACTAAATTGATAAATAAGAACAATATTATTACGAATTACACACTATGATTGATGAATAATCACACTGAAACTGGTGAATAAACCCATAAAAAGATCCAAAAACAAATTAAAGAAAAAGAATATCATAATTATTGAATGTATAATACTTAGATTTATGAAACCCAACAACCAAAAAAAAGTTGAAGAGATTATTAGGAAACACCCCTGCCCCTCTGAATAAGAACAATATTATTACGAATTACACACTATGATTGATGAATAATCACACTGAAACTGGTGAATAAACCCATAAAAAGATTCAAAAATAAATTAAAGAAAAAGAACATCATAATTACTGAATGTATAATACTTAGATTTATGAAACCCAACAACCAAAAAAAAGTTGAAGAGATTATTAAGAAATACCCCTGTCCCTCTGAATTCATAAATCTTTTGGCAATTTACTAAATCTGAATCCATAAACCTCTGACAATTCATCAAGAAAGATCTGAAACAAACCCACAAATAAAAAACTACTAATTCATCAAAAAGATCATAAACAAATCCACAAAGAGAAACTCACAAAAATAGATGAATAAAATGATTTATTACCGTAATTCTTGCTTTAATTTGTATTAACTTGATTATAAAATTCAGATTTTTTATGCACAAAGTCAATTCTGAGAGCTCAGCCACCGATAGAATTTCGTTCTTGCTTGAGCGGTTATAAAAATAGAAAAATGAGAAAAAAATTAGGTAATTGAGTATTTATATTTTTTGTTATGGGGATTTGAAAATTAAAAAATCCAAAAAAGAGCTACTATTAAGAGTATTTTGGAGCGTGAAAGACATGCTATTTAATGTACCCAGGTGCTTCTTATTATAACTAAATCTGTTCCTCCTAACTCCTAAGTCTTACCATTCATTTTCCTCTAATAATGGAGTTATTATTGTATCATCTATTTGTTGTGAGTTTTTTGAAGGCTTGGCTGAATTGGAGAAAAATATAAGAACACATCTCCTTTCTTCCCCCCCTCCCTCCAACTGGCAATTTGACTTTGTGAAAATTTTTGTCAATCCTCTTATCCGTCTCCGATTAAGAAGAATTTGACAAGCTTTTAATTAGATTAAGGTAAATCGTTGACTGGTATGGTATATATTCGTTCTTCTTCTCCCTCTTTATTTTTTTTTATTTTTTTTTGGGTCGTGGCACACTTTGCTCTGCAAAGATAATTTCTATTGAATTAGTCTTTTGAAGCTACTTATATAATAACCCCATCTGAGGTGATGATATTAAAGCGGCAAATTTATAAAACCTTATCTTTTTAAAATTGGAAGCGTGGGTGGGTAGAAAGAAAAGCAATTGAATTTTTTGTGGTTATTTTTAAGCTGGAAATAATCTTTTTTGGGGTATTCAAAATGTGTAGCAATGACAGCGATGACGATATTTCATTTTTCATAGATGTTTGTATTTAATTTTGAATGACAAGCATTTTTAGTCAAAATTGTTGAAAATTCAATGGAGCAGAGGTAGCATGGCATTTGGATGGAATATGTGTATGACTCACAGTTTTAAATGTAATGATATCACACTTCTCTCAAAAGGAATTTTTTTTTTCCTCATCAAGGATTGTTGTGAACTAAATAAATAAAAAAAGTACGATGATTATTTAGGTTGGATCTTAGGTTTTCTTTGTGAGAGAAGAAGTAATTGCAACTAATTTTGCTGCTCATATTGAAAAGGCTTCTTTTTTTCTTTTTTCCCTTTGACATGAGAACCAAAGAGAGAAAAGCATTGCTTAATTGGTGAATCTAATTAGGTTTTCCATTTGACGTTGCTCCATTGCCATAATATAGAGCTCTTACTTGCATCAGATTGTAGATTCTCCCACCTGCAAGAAAGTTTTGCACGACTACATGCATTCAAGATTCTCTACTTCTATAAAGTTGTATTCATAAATGTTTCAACAGATCTTGAAACTTATATAGTTTCTCATGTTCAGTTTGGTTTTTAGGTGAATATAAAGTTATATGCAATATTTATTAAAGTTACATTTATGTTGATTACAATTCGTACAAATTTATCATTTTCATGCCAAATACTTCACTTACTACGTAATATTTACAACATTATAATTCACAAGTATAATTGTTTCAAAATAAAACTACGATTTATAGGTTTAGATACGCGTGAAGCGAGTCGGCTTCAACTAGTTTTTCATTATTGGTTATAGCTTTTAAGGCTCAGTTTGATGTTTGTAAGGGTGATGAATAACTTTCAAATTCAAAATCAAAATAACACATTCCTTGTGATGCAAAATTGAATTGATTTTGTAAATATGAGTATATGCATCAAATAATTAATGCATTTGCTTTCTACCTTTTTTTTTTTTTTTTCTTTTTCTTAATGGGTTTGTTATTGCTAGATTTCAAAGACTTTAGAAGAAAACCAAAAGGCATATATAATTACATTATCCCATATCCCATATAGCATCAGATATTCTGTAACATTTTTTTATTATACTCGGTGTAACAATAGTTAGATGATTGATAAATATTATTATCAATAACACAAACACATTAACTAAATAAGAATTAAGTATATCTATTTGGATAAGTAATTGAATACATAACAATAATCTAACTAGTGCCACACTGATCCCTGCTCGCTATGAACACAAAACTCGATAAAATTAAGAAGCATCAGTTAAATTGTGTGATATCACAATTCACATGCATAAGGCCCATGCATACTTAATTTGCTTTTGTGAAACTCAAAAAGCTATATTTTCTTTGTCACGATATGATAGTTCAATTTAAATTTTCATTTTTAATACTTCTTCCATCCCAAAAAAATAGTTCACATTGAGTTTTCAAATTTGTACTAAAAACAGTACAAAACTCCAAACTCAATATGGACTATTTTTTTTGGGACGGAGGTTGTATAATTTAACTTTGAATAATTATTTTGGAATATAGAGAGTCATTTATATCTCCCCCAACGTTTATAGTAATGTATGGCATTGGAGCCAAAGAGAAAGGGAAGAAACGACTTTTTCAGTCAATATATGCTGAAATTAAACTGACACTCCTTGCCATTTTGCCCTGCGTCCACATTAGTTTGGAGGAATTGATGATTTATTATTACAACAATCAATCCTGCTGCTAAATACATTGCGAGATGTAAGGCCCCTTTCGTTAATTACGGCTCTGTTGTCTACTACCTTTAGTCTTCAAATTAATTTACCGATTGTCAAACTCGAATCAAAAGTAACACTTCTTTTCTTGAAAACTTTATGCCACTAATCAAGCAATTACTTCTTTCTAGGACTTAATCATATTACTTTCAAAATGATTACTCTGTTATTATTAGTTATGTTTATGATTGAGATAATAATTTTGTAGGGTGGTGATTTTGTCACAATAACTTTTAGTATACAGGGCAAATTTAGTGTGAAAGGACACAATTACCTATCTAAAAATACGGGTACTTATAATTCTTTACGCTCGATCATCTTCTTCCTACGCTTCAGCGTCCCATTCGCCGATGATATATCCGATGAGAAGGAATACTCCGCCGACGAAAGAAAGCAAGAAGACTTCCTGAAACTAATCCCAACCTGATCGGGTGACCTAGATACAACAATAGATGAGAACCCCACATCCAATATACCGCTCTATTGTATGCTAGGCCGGTCAACCCACAGTGAACCAGTGCTCATCCTCCCCTCAACTGTCATTTAATTTTATTTTTCATGGCATTCATTAGATATGATCTTTAATTATCTCGGATCTGACTTTAATTACTGGAACTTTTGAATATAACGAAGGGTTCAATTTTTTGAATCGAGCCAAAAAAAAATTAGAGATTGGGGTAAGTTGAATTCTGTTACCCAACTAACAATCTATGAAGAAAATCTATCAAATCTAATGTAAATTGTTGTAGCCCAGAGAGAGACATAAAGATAGCATGTTAAAATTGGGAAAAGATGATGATCGAGCCCAAATCATTGGTTTCAATTGGATTAAATAGGTTATACTCAAAAGAAGGGGAAACAAAGAAAGCTATCCTCTTATTTCTTTGGTAGGGGACATGACAATCATTAAATCTTTATAATTTTTTCGCCATAAAGTCGGAACATGAAGAAAATAATTTTTCAGATTTTATTTTTTTTTGCCGTACTAGGGCAGAGGAGGGTGGATTTTAGAAGGAGCAGCCGAGAAGTGAATAATGGAAAAGTATCAAGAGGGGTAATTGTGCACTTTTACTCTAAATTTATCCTGGATGCTAAAAGTTGTTGTGCCAGAATCACTACCTAATTTTGTAACAGATGGAATACATATTTGTTGAACAAAAATATCACCTCAGGAGGTAAAATTTATTAACATATATTTTATTTTAAAAAAGGAGAACAGACAAGGAAATGATCGACATGCGCATATTTAAGCTTGTCTATTAGGGAAGTAAATCGAGCATACGTGCCGTAATTAAGATCAAATTCATAAGCTAGCATAACACTTGTCAAATGAAGGAGATATGTTTTTACGTAATTGAATTAATTTGATGGTAGCATACGTTCTCTTCGAAAACGTTTGTTCGTAACGACGTAACCCAAAGAGAAAACAAATGTTTGTTATAAATAATTTGAATCTTGGTAATATAAAAAAGTCAAAGGACTCTGTCTCAAAATTGCTTATGTAATATATGAATGTCGTACACTTCAGTATTTCTTCTCCAATTTTCTTGTTGTTCTTTCTTTTTTTTATTTCCCCTTACTTTAAATGCCAAATCAAAAATTGATAGCACTATAGGCAAGTGAAAAAATAAAAATAAGAAAGAGTATTGTTGGGAGAGTTTTCTTTCCGAAAGGAAATATACTCGACTTCGTACGAATTAGTCTGAGTGGAATGTACTTAAGACACTGTGTGCAATATGAAAAAAAAAATAAAATGATACCGTTGCTTCTATCATCGCATTCACACGAGAGAGAACTTATTAATGTTAATTTGTATAAATATATTGCTTGTTGAAACAGTAAATTAATGTAGCATATTTAACTGACTTGTACCTAGAACTGGTCACTTTGTACGTAATCTATACTTTGAACCATTAGAACAAAATTAATATTAATAATCTAGACACGACCGGTCAAGTTAACACAAAGCTCTAATTCCTAGTTACTATAGCATACGCAATCTTTCAATTTTTTTTAATCCTTCTTGAATATGACCGCGATCTTTAATTATTATTCAATTAACACCTTTGCAGAATGACATTTCTGAAATTCCACCTTTTCATGTGACAATAACGATGATTAATAAAGATTGGAAATTTATTTGCAGTTTTGTGGGTATTTTTTTCCCCTTTTCTTTGGGTTACAATTTGGGAATTGTTTTTCAAAAAACGCGGTTCTAATTAAGTTGCTACATTGTGGCTGTGAAGGTTTGAAACTTTGAACTCTATGTCCGAATGAAATACTTCTTATCGAATATTTTTCTGGTGGTAATTAATTATGTGATACTCTCCTTGTCCAAAAAAAAAAATCTAATTAAGTTTTAAAATTTGTATTAAAATTAAATTAGTATCAATCTTAAAACTCAATGTTTATTATTTTTTGAGACAGGGTTTTACTACTTGGAAAACAATGTGGTTGTTTTAGTGATACATGCACTGGACATAAGCAACGAACAGATTTGCAAAACATTATTCCGTAACAAAAAAGATTTGTAAACTAGAATATATAACTCCTAAAAATTCAAGGTGAGAGAGAACTATATATTTTCTTCAATTCCATGAGTGAGATTATTGTTGACTGGGGACTCTGTTTAAAAAAAAAAAAGAAAAGAAAAGAAGAAAGAAAATGTAAAGCTTTACCAATTTTGATGAAGTACGTACTCAAGGAACTAGTCTAGCAATGGACCAGAAATAATACAGGAAAAAATCCGAAGACAATACCGTGTCCAAACGGGAAGTTGAATGAGAGTACGTGAAAAAAAAGCCTCCTTCGATTTCTTGTTTCCTATCAACTTGGGCAGCAAAATGGAGAGTGTCAAAGTCATATTTGTCATCCCAAACCTAGCTAAGAAATTATTCTTTCCCTCCTAAGGAGTAGTGTACTGGAGAACTAAATTAAATTAAACAGTACAATAGGAGACCCTCTTCCCCCGGGGGGTAAGAATAAGAAGAGAAGAAATCTTTTATGTGTCCAAAGAGGCTCAATAATTATAATCTTCAATATTAGTAGTTACGTTTTTAAATGATTGCCATGTTATAAAATTATTTTGGAATTAGAATGCATGTTATTTTCTTCAGCGGATATATCAAATATCAAGTGGCTGCATTCGGTGAATTCGATTGTGATTACTAAGTGGACCTTAGAGATTGGCTACAGGTCTACAGTGGAGGAACATCGGGCTTTTACGAATGGCTACAGTGAAAGGATCCTCGGACTTTTAAGTGCGATTTTTTTTTTCTTTTATTGTTTTTTCTTCTGGTCCATTACTGAATCAAAAGGTGGCAAAAACTCTTCTCTTCTGCCATAATGTGACGGTAGTCCATGACTGCTGAATTATCCACAATATATCTTTTTCAGTAAACTGTAAGAAATGAAAATGAAGACAATTCTCTTTTAATCTTCGAGTCATGTTAACCTTGGGCCAAAAAATTTAAGAGCCTTTTTTCCTTCTTTGTTTTCCTCCCTTATTTTTCTTGGTGCAAAATTATTAATAATTTTTTTATCTGAAATTTCAATTATGTTATTCTCCAATTAATATATATAGATTAATCTACATAATAGTTTGTATGCTGTAATATATTAGCAAAAAAGAAAAAAAAAAACTTTCGATCTTGATGGTTGTGGGATCGGATGTTCAAAGTTGTAGTGCTCATCATAAAGAGGTTGTCCTAATAAGTCCATGGAAATTAAGGAATTTATCATTGAAAATATCTATATTACCGTTAAAAATTAATGAAAAATCAAAATGACACTTATAAGATATGACAACAGAATGGAGACTAGTTTGAACAAATGGATCAACAAGAGTTCATTCTAATAGTCGCTTTATATCTCTTCATTATTTCTGGAAAGTATTTTTCCTAGAGGAAACCAACTCTTTCTTCTTTATTTCTTACTAATTTTCTCATCTCAACTAAGTTAAATTCAAAGTATTCAATCAATGTCATCCTATTCACTCCGACCGATCTAAACATCCAAAAGCTACAAGATAACCGAAGCATATCCTGATAGTAAGGAAATTAATATTCCACATTTGAAATTTCAACCAAATTTTCTCTATAAATTCACACCCCCAATAAACAAAAAAAATACATCCTCTTTACTACAACGTTTTTCCTATTGAAAATGGGATTTTCCAAATTTCATTTGGCTCTTGTTTTTGCTTGTTTCACAACCTTTTCTTTAATAAGTTCCTCCTTGGCTCAAAACTCCCCACAAGATTATGTAAGCGCCCATAATGCAGCCCGTTCCCAAGTCGGAGTCGGACCCATCAGCTGGGATCAAAACCTGGCAAACTATGCTCAAAACTACGCTAACGGCGTCCAATCGGCTAACACGTGCAACAATCTCGTCCATTCCGGAGGACCTTACGGCGAAAATCTGGCTGCCGGTTATCCGGACTTGACGGGAAAGGCGGCGGTTGATATGTGGGTGGCGGAGAAAAGCAATTATGACTACAACTCCAACACCTGCGCCGCCGGGAAGGTTTGCGGACACTACACTCAGGTTGTGTGGCGAAACTCGGTTCGGGTCGGGTGTGCTAGGGTTCACTGTGCTAATGGTTGGTCGTACGTTATTTGCAGCTACGATCCCCGAGGCAATTATGTTGGCCAGAAGCCATACTAGAGCTCTTAAAGTTTTAAGTTCTCTGCACGGTAAAATATGTGGTGCTATTATTAAAAAGAAAAATAAAAAAGAATTATGCCTTGATCAGATTGTTCATCTCGGAATAAAAATTAACCAGATGATATATCTGGGGAAAACAATTAGTGACAAGGCTGAATAAATTAATGTACTTGCTGTACTTTGGATGCAATTAACCATGATGGTTTGATTCAACGGAGATGAAAAGTTTTAAGGATACATAACGATCAGTTTGGATATACAATTTTTTTCTTAAAAGTCCGAACATACTCTATACAACTTCCTGTTTATAATAATATTTAAATTTTACTTGATGATAACTCAGTTATATTCCTGTAGTTTATTCGACTCATTTTTTGTTAAGAGAAAAGTATTTCACTAATCATGCTGAAAATGACATAGTAGACGAGTAATTATTATGAAACAAGTAAAAAATTTTGAATGTGGAATATTAAGGATTGTTATTATGTGATATATCGTAACCAATGGGATCAATGATCGGATAATTGGTGTCATTTCTCTAAATTTATTCTACGAATTCATTTATTGAGAATATATCATTACGGCTGTATCAATTATAAGGAGGTGACTCCGGAAAAATTACGTTCAATCCATCCAAATTCACATCTAAAAGGCAGTCCCGTCCCGACGTTGATGAAGTCTAATATAACCACGTGAGCTACCTACGTCAAGTTATACTTTAACATTTGTGTGGAAAAAAAAGTACTTTAACATTATCAGAACCTTTAGCCTGCGAATAGATGATTACACGAATACGACTGATTGACAAGACCGTCGAAACGAGGATGATATATGATGAGAATAAGTAAACATATTCATCACAGAAAAATATTTTTATCACGAAGTTACGAGAGAAAAAAAAAAAAAACACACTGAAGTTGAAATTTCCAGAACGATAACAAAGCACGTACGCTCCATACAAACAAACTAAGACCTGGTCAATAAGAAACATACGCAGACATGTTATATACACCTTTGTTTCTAGAGAGTAAGGGCTTGTTTGATAAACCAATTCAGCACTTAAACTTATTGATTAAGTATTTAATTGATTAGTACAGTTTAATAACACAATATCATAACCACTTAATTAATTAAGAACTTAACTAATTAAGGAGTTAAAATTTTAAGTTCGTTTGATAACTCAAAGTAGATATCTTAACAAATTAAGTGTGTCTGAAATACTAGTACAAATGTGAGTCTAAAAATAAGTGATAGGTCTATCACTTATATCTGAACCGAATTCTTGAAACGATTTGTTTTCCGGTTTAGTTACTTTTATGTTTATCTTTTTTATGTTTTATATTGAAATAATTTTATTAATCTTGATTTTTAGTTAAAAATTAAAAATTATATAAATTATTTTTATTACTAAATATTTATTTTAATATAAAAATTAAAAATCCAAATAAATTCCATGATCAATTATATTTTCCATAAAATAAGATTTTTTTTTATAATGATAAAGATATGATATTATTATTAACTGAAAAAAATAATTACATAATAAAATTTAAATATTTTTATAGCATAATTTTACAATAATACTATTATTTATTATCATAGTTTCATATAAATTAATTATTATTTTAGATAAAATTATAAGTCCAGATACTTAAATTTCAATGTTCAAATTTCAGATTTCAGACATTTTATTCAGTATTCAGATTTTGAATTTTATCAAACAAGAGAAACTTAATCAGTTCAGTACTTATGATTCAGTTTTAAGATTTTAGACTTCAGACCCATATTAAGTTTTATCAAATAGGGCCTAAAACTTATAGCTAAAACATAGGCAAAAAGAGTATTACTATTGTGCATCAAAGAGTTAAAAGGATAATATTCCCTCTAGTCCTAATTATAAGGAAAAATTTGAACTATAATTAGTTTAAATTTATGACTTTAAATTAGGACATGGGGAGCATTGCACTATCTACAGTATAACATCTTTAAATTAATACTATTAGAACCTTAAAAAATTATTAATTTATCGATAAATTAATAATTAAGAATTTGTTAATAAAATCTTTAAAAACTTTGTAACTATTGTCATTAAAAGTTTGACTTAGTATGAAAATGATGATAATTCAGTGTTTTTAAAACCAAATGCACGAAATGAAGAACTTAATAGGGCAACAACTTTTTGAAATTTTTTACTGCAATATGAAAAATCTACACCAGAGCTTTTGAAAGCAATGGAAAAATCAAAGTAAAATCTCTTTATGTAAATTTCAAGAAAAATATACGTTACTAGATTCATATTTTGTATCTACTAGTATTTCAAGTCATTATTAATTTATAAAATTGTCAGGACCTATATTTATATAGGAACTTTCTAAAAAATTATTATCTTATTATTTTATCGATTGTCTTTAGCTTTTGTACTGGTCCCGACTTGGGACTGGAAAAAATTATTAATTTGTAGATGTTATTAATTTATTGATTATTAATTTATAGATGTTCTACTGTATTTCTTTCTTTTTCAAAAGGAAAATAATTAAACATATAGAAAAAATTATAAGGAGAAATGATGCGATTATAGACTAAATTATTTTTCTAACCTTAAATGAATATATATAATTTAATTCCCATCATTTCGAATCATTTTTCCTGATAAATTGTTGCCTATATTTTCACTTACTCTTAAAAAATGTTTTATGAATAAAACAAACTAGGTGTTAGAGTTTTCGACAGAAACAAAAATCCAACCGAAATCACGTATTCTAATTCATTTTTTCCTAATGACACTAGCTAAGAAAACCTTAAGAACGTGTAAAAAAAAAAAAAAAAAACTTAAGAACGTGTACGCCTTGTCCCCGCTTAAAAAAAGCTCCCAAACATTACAGCTCCAGCCTCCATGTAAAAATTAAACTATGTATTGATCAGGCTTGTTAGTTAGTTGTATCTCATTTTCGGAGAGTTTTGGCTGATTTGTTCATAAACTTCCGCATTAGTCCATTAAAATATTACCTCCGTTTCGAAATTATTATTCAGTTTGAATTTTTTATTTTTAATACAAATTTAACTAAAAATGAAAATCTAAACTGGACAATAATTTTAAGACAGAGGGAGTATCTTTTGTGAGGAGGTGGGAATAATATGACTTTTTGATCTTAACTGTAAGATAGCTTATTTATGTTTCAGACAGAATTATAGCTCGAGTATATATATATATATATATATATATATATATATATATATATATATATATATATGAAAAAAGGAAGTGGAACTTGATACCAACAAAGCGCAACTCTAAAACCAATCAATAGTCTTAGAATGATGATATATACAATATCCGCTCCATGATCACAGTAGTACTTAGTAATTTATTCCTTCAGAAAAAAAAAAAAAAATCACGCGACATTTTATTCCATCACAAGCACATAAGTATCATTTCAAACACCATATATTATACTAATTCTGTCTCAAAAAAATAGTCCATATTGAGTTTTTAAATTTATACTAAAAATAGTACAAAATTCAAAACTCAATGTGGATTATCTTTGTGGGACAGAAGGAGTATATAAAAGTGGCCTCTAATACGGGCGTTCATTGATGTAGTTGCCAGGGGGATCGTAGCTGCAGATGACGTAAACATAACCACTGTCGCAGACAACCCTAGCACACCCAACGCTAACAGAATTCTGCCACACAATCTGAGTGTAGTGCCCGCATTGCTTACCGGGGCTGCACGAGTTGGATGCATAATCATAATCGGCCCGCTCGTTCACCCACATATCAACGGCATCCTGTCCGGAGAACCCTCCATAACCATAGGCTAGGTTTTCACCGTATGGACCCTGAGAATGCACGAGATTGTTACACGTGTTCGCGGCTTGAACTTGGTCCGCGTAGTTCTGAGCGTAGGCTACTAAAGTTTCGTCCCAGCTGATGTCGCCGACGCCAACTTGCGCGCGGGCCGCGTTATGGGCGTCCAGGTAGTCCTGTGGCGCATTTTTTAGCAAATGAGGGATTGATCGAAGCAAAGGCTATGAACAGGAAACAAATACCAAGAGAGCATGAAAAGCTGAACACTCCCATTTTGAAATATTAAATATTATTCTTTCTTTATTTTTCCACTTTGGTTCTGTGAAGAATGTTGTTTTTGCATGTCTCAATTTATAGGAGATGGATTGCTCAAGGATCTGCGTTAAGAATAATTAATCTATTACTACTTCAATCAATGGGTATACTACGGAAGCAGTTATTGGCATATTCTACCACAGATTTAAGAAGAGAGCAAGCACATTGTAAATTTATATATATATATATATATAATTTTAGGTAAATGCTTGAGATATATATTTATATCAAAATTGCAAAGGGAGATTGATAATTAAGCTTCTGCTGGTTCCTATATTGAATGGATTTTTATGATGAACTTTAACACGCGCGGTCAGTAATCAGTAAGACGTAGCGTTAGTTATTCGTATATATATTAATCCCCAAACTAGCTAGTTGTTCATGGAATATGGAAAAAATTTCAATCAAGTTTCAATCCACTTGTGCTGTGTAAGTTATCTAAATGGTAACTCGTTCATTTTAACGCAAATGCCAATTTGAACGGGTCATCGAGTAGTTGTTTCTTTTCTTATATAGAGAAAAAGTATTCTCTTATATTATAAAACATGTTGATTTGTCATAAATTTCTTTTAGTATCTTGTCAGAATGTTATATTCACGATAAGTTTTAATTTTGTAACTAAGCTTTGGTCTCTCTCATTGTACCAAAAAAAAATTAAAAAAATCTTAAAATAATAATTTTCACATTTATATATTGTGTTCTTTTTCAATATTTATTGTAAATATTTTTAAAATTTTATTTTTAATTGGAACAACGAACTAAATTAAATCAAAATGCAAGGATGGAAGGAAGTACAAACAAAACCACGGATAATGTCACTATGATCCTCTTCCGGTGTTAAAATTTTATATTAGTCTTTTACAAGTAGTGAGAATTAAATCCAAGGAAACTTCAAATAATTACCCAAAAATTCTCAGTAAGTGAAGAGTCTATTAAAAAGTTGCTTGTGTCATTATCCATGTCTTGTTAACAAAAAATAAAAAAATTATTGGAATATATTATTAAACTTGACGCACAGTAAAACGTTATTGGAATTTG